TGCCTGTCCAAGAGAGTCCAGGTAGTTCTCTCCCGCCGGCAGCCGGCATTTTTATTTTATTTGTGAGATTGTGCCGGCGGTGTGTATGACCGGTGACCTCCCGGTATCCATTAGGTATAGCAGTGGCCAGCAATCGTGCAGTGAATCGGTAGTAAGCTTACAAATGTCGTCTTTCCAGCTGAATATGTAAACGCGTCTGTCTGCCGATGGATTGGACAGCAACTTGTCTGTTTGGCTCTCTTGATAAACCAGAAAAAGAAAAGGTTGCTCACATACAACCACACCACATATGACTAGCTAGTTGAATATTCATTTTTCAAATTTGGAATCAATTTGGTGTTCTATTTACAAAATTATTTCAATGCTCTCAATGTTCACTACCGTTGAATTCTTTGTAGATGAATATTGTGCAATCCTGTTCAAGCCCAAGCAAACATACCAAACTATACAAGAAGGCTTGCATGTCTCTGTTGGAACAGGGATTCAAACCTGGGTTGCTGGAGTTGTAGCATTAAAAGTCCGAATTCAAATGTTTGAGTTGTTGTCGTGGTTCATTTGTATTTGCCGATTACCTGACTTTGTGTCTTACTAGCAAAAGCTTGCTCGCTATCGATTCGAGTATCAGAAAAATAAAAAACTTAAAAAGAAATAGTTTTAATGTTGACCCAAAAGTGAAAGTAATTTTGGGGTCGTTTGGTTTTGGTGATAGTTAAATTGATGCATTGTTATCAATGCATGTATATAAGAAAATTGGTGTATTGTAGTTTGCATCGTTTGGTTTATGTGATAATGATTCAAATATTGTAATAAGTTATATTACTTTTTGGATGAAATGTCACTTTTGCCTTTTGTTGGAAAAAAAAACAAAACCTAACAATCTCTGCCAAACAATCTCAGCCAAAACTTGAGATTTAACTATCACTCATTTTGAGTGATAGTTTGTGTCAAATCAAGCAAACAATGCATGTATTTTTTGTGCATAAAATTAAAAAAGACGATGCATTGTGGACAATGCGTGTATTGTAACTATCCCAACCAAACTATCACCAAAACCAAATGACATTATTTCATTCTTTTCATAGGTTTGTTATTTACAATAGCATATGGTCGATGAACTTGTATAAGGTAGAAGGATCGTCGAATAGATTATCTATGTTTAAACTTATTTCACGACACTATTGTTTGCTAGTAGTTGATTCTGTTGTTACTTTTGCAAAATAGAGCAGCTTCTCGGGATTTTTTTTTCAAGAACTATTAAAAAAAAAGTTATGTGTTTAGCTAAAAAACAATCAGAATTACTTTCTAATATAAGAGATAATGTAAAATGAGTAAAACAAATATTTCTAACATAAAATATGAATATAAATTCTAAAAACAAAAAAGTATTTAAAATGGATCACGTTAGATTTATTTCATATTAAATAATAGTTTATTTTTTTATAATGATATAAATGAAAAAAAATTAAGTTTTCTAGAAGAAAGAATAATATATGGTGACAATTTTGTATTTTCAAATCGGAGCTTCTGCTTTTAAGTTACAAAAAACTTAAACTTTTTAAAAAAGTGAAACTTTAGAGGTGTTTGGCTCGGCTTCAACTTTTGAAACATAAAATTCTAAAATTCGGGACAAACATAGTTGTACTCTTTTGCCTTTTTTTGTGTTTGAGGTAATCGTGGTTCTCATTTATGAATTTTTGGACGGATTGCAGGTTTAAGGAGGTTCAACTTGCATTAATTAGGTCAAATTAGGTTGGATACTCATGGATTTGAGTTCAATTGTCTTACTCAAACAAAAGGAAAAAGCGAAATGAAAAATACTAAAGCTAAAACTCGCTACTGACTCAAAACTCGTCAACACCAGGGGCAACTCGCTTTGACCTGGTTGTGCCAAGTTTTGGGAAAATTCACACCTGACACAACCCGCAAATTATAAAAACTGATAAAATTCGCTCGCGCCGAAAACCTGTAAAATCGGGTTCAAGTCGCTTTGGTCGAGTCGAATTAGGTTGGATACCCATGCGTTTGGAGTCAATTGTCATTCTCAACCAAAAGGAAAAAGATAAAAAAAAAATACTAAAGCAGATAAAACTCACTCACGACCCCAAACTCTCAACATTGCGTTCCACTTGCTTTGACCGGGTTGACCCAGTTTTAACAAATTCACAATTTACCCAACCTGCCAATTACAAAAGCGAATAAAACTTGCTCTCGATACGAAAAGGAAAATGAGAAATAAAAAACATTAAAGTGTACAAAACCCACTTTCGATCTAAAACATATCAACAACGTGTTCAACTGCCTTTGACCATTTTTTTAACATAGTAACACTTGTTCCAACTGCCAACTACAAAAGCGCATAAAGTTTGCTCACAATCCAACAATCGTCAATACCTTAGATTCGAGTTCAATTGTCTTCGCAACCAAAAGAAAAAAATGAGAAATTTATAAATACTAAAGTTGGTTTCAAGTTGCTTTGACTGGATCGAATTAGGTTGGATACCCATGGATTTGGGTTTAATTGTGATCATGCTCTACAAAAAGGAAAAAGTTACAGAAAAAAACACTAAAGCGGACGAAACTCGGTACCGACACAAAACTCGCCAACATTGAGTAGATCTGGTATGGATTTTCGGTAGCGGCCTTGGGAAACGGTGACGGGGAATAACTTAGGATTCCGTCGACAGTATTTCGAGATGGGCTGCGAAATGATGGGCAAATACGATGATTTGTGCAAAAAGCCATAGACGAAAACCTACTGGATAGGGAGGTGGAAACCTAGTAGGCAATAATTATTATGGGAAACACAATGGACAATAGATGTAAACCTAGCGAACAATAGCTAAACACAAAGGTTGTAGAATTGAGAGTGGGATAAAGAAGGACTTGGAACTTCCCCACTTGCACTTGGAGGAGTGTGGGAGCCACTAATGAATAATAACCTATAACCTTGCACAGGTTTATATAGGGAAGTACTTTCCGCGGGGAAGTTTCCTTGAGGCGAAGGCGCGTTCCCGTACCTCCTAGGGTTGGCAAAGCATCCTCTTTGGTCGCCAATTATTGAGCCAGGAGCTTCAAAGCAAATTGGGAATGGTCGGACGACCCCGTTACTTCAGAATAGTTGGGTCCCGCGTTTGCACCCTCTAGCCCCTACGTTTAACCCCTGTGTCTTGCCTGCTGATGGGAAATTGTCGGTTGCTACTGTCATCAATGCGGAGGAAGGATGCTGGTGTGATGTTGGTATGGCCCAATGGTTCGATCCTCCCACATGTCGTGTCATTAAGGAAATTCCTCTACCACGAGGTAATGTAAACACTACAAGAAATTTGACCTTAAATGACAAATTAATTTTGTTGTCATAAAATATTTGTCATATTAGGCAACTAACTATGACAAAAAAAAAAGACTTGTCACATTTAATTAACTATATGTGACAAAAGTTATATTTGTCATTCAAAGTTGTCATAATAGAGTTAAATTGTGACAAAGTTGTTGTTGTCATTATAATTTTGTCACTATATGTCTTATTTACCGCGCAAATACTGCTACAGAATGACAGAACACCCCGTCACCTTATGGTTTGTCACATTATGTTCAAAAAATCCTATGATATGATAATATAATTTGTCATAATATGGCGTGCAGAATGAAATAAAAATTTTCATTACATTTTTTTAGAATTTCTATTTTTCGTCCACAATTCCATTCGGCGGGACTATTATTCCCCTTCCATCCAAGACGAAAAAAACCCCAATCCGCCTCTCTAACCCTTCAGCTCCAAGAACGGAAACCCCAATTCCATCTCCACTGCGAATTGAAAAGTCCAAACCCCTCTCCCCACATCCTCTTCAGCGATTCGTCTGGGTACGTTCTCCTCCCCGCGAATCGATTGTCCGGTAAGTCTTGTTCTTCTCCTCGCCCTGGACTCCTTTTCCTCTGCGATTTTGGTTTTGATTTGCATGGTGGATACCTGATTCCGATAAAAGCAGAGTTGGGTTCCTCATGTTTCTTCTTCTATCTCTGTCGTTCATAGGCGCTCTTGCACAGGGGTAGGGCTTTCCCTCTGAATCAACAGTCTCCGATTAACCAAGTTGCAACTTTGCTTCGACGCCCTGCCTTCCCTGCCGCGAGTTCCCCCCGTCGATAATTCGAGTAAGTTTGGCCATCGAGTTCTCCTGTATTAGGGTTCTAGCAGACTTCCCCCAATTTCAATTTTGGTTAACTCTGGTGAACTCGTACTTGGTCCGCGAGAGTTGGTGGTGTAAATGAAATCTTGATTGGTTTAGATCGAAGCTCTTGCGTCTATAGGGAGTCTAGACTTGTTTAGAATACTCAAAGTTTGCATCTTTTGTTTGATCCTGGGGGACTGGAAACGTTGACGAATCATGGGTTTTTGTTGATTGCTTCCTTTTGTAGTCTTGGCCCAGTTTTTGAATGCCTCATCGTTGTTGGTGGTTGTGCTGGAATTGTTACTTGGTTGTTTAGGGAATATGTTTTTTCCTTCCTTGATGGAGGTTAATTGGTCATGGAAAGTAACTCTTAGCCAGGACTTTTCACGTTGGCTTATCACTTGTGTAATGTGTTTTCTTGTAGTCCATTTCTGCATCCTTGGTCTCATGTGATTATGGGGATTACATTATAGGCAGAACTCAGAGCAAGTGTCTTTGAAGCGATTGAAGAGGAGGATACGGTAGTTGAAAATGAAGAAGGCTTACCACCTACATTACTGGGTAGCTGCAATGACCGCACAAAGCAGCTTCACGCTTCACCATCAGGTTACTATCTAGGTTTCATTGATTGCCTTGGTACGAAATCAGGGTTGGGAAGTGGTGCACTTTCAGTTTGATATTGCTTCCTAATGAAATTGAAAAATGCTGAAATTTCTTTTGCTTTACACTCAGAACAGTTTAAGTTCCATTCCTTCGTTTCTGGTGTGTCGAGGAGTTGGATAGATGCTAATAGTCTTTTATGATATGACTTGCATTCTCATATGCAAGGAGGCTATTAACTGCACTAATGTGTGAGTACTTTGACCGGGCACAACTAAATCACACGCTCAAAGTATATCTACCTGAGTGCAACTTGGTAATGCAGTAACGTTTAGTTTGTCTTCAAGATGTTTGAGATCTTGCCTTTTTCTTTCAGTTTTATTTTTTTACTCATAAGCTGTGAATTTCATTCGCAATTTGTATTGCAGCAAAAGGATTCATGGAAAGCAGAATTGAAAGAATTCAGTAGCAATAATGGGTACGATCTCAACAGGAATGGAGATAGTGGTCCTTTGCTTCTCGATGTACTCTAAGGATTCTTGAAGTATGAGGTTTGTCATTAGATTTCTTTCTGATGGGTTGATGGAATTGTTTTGGAAGGAGGTATTTATCATGTACCTGCCATATGATGATGGGTTGCAAGACAGCCTGAGAGCTTTATCTAGATTGACATTGATAATCTTAAATCAATTGCCTATTCGATAAATGTGACCCAGGTTTTGTTCTTTAGATAAAAGTTTGCTGTTGCTTTATGCTGAAATATATGAACTGCTTCCATTATTCTTTACTTTGATGTTTAAACAGAATCTAACTCAAGGCAGGGGATCTGGAAGGAGAGGATCAGAAAATGAGTCCTTATCTAACTTAGACTCGAGGAACATGCGGAGGCCCTCTTCATCATCTGTTGCTGGTGGTTTACCTCCTTTAGGAAGGTGCTGAGCCAGTTTTGCTTTAGCATTGTGAATCGGAATCCCCCTATGTTCAATTCATTAATTGTTTGTCATTTTTTTGGCATGCTTATCAATAGGCCGGGTGCATCATCGTCATCTGGTGAGCAATTAATCGATCTCTTATTTTCCGTTTTCATCACCCCCTTCCTGCTGGATTTTTCTGTCTATCTGGTTCTAATTCGAAATTTATCTAGACAGGAGAGAAGTTCAGCTGGAAGCAGAACTGGCAGCAGCAAAGGCAGAGGCGGAAAGTAAGACCAAGGAGTTGGAGGCCAAGCTGGTAGAGCAGGATGAGAAGATTAAAGCTCGGGATGAGGTGATTGAAAAACATAAAGTAGAGCTTGATAGGCAACATGAACGTTTGGCTAACCAAGGGGAAAAGATGGAACAAATGCGCTTGGCACAAGGGAAGATGCAAAAGAGTATGGAATCCGTCCTCGCCAAACTCAGCAGGAAATGATTGCACCAGGTACATAGCTATTATTGAATGCATGAATTTCATCTGTAGAACTTAGTCAATCTGTTAGGAACAATTATGCACGAATGTGAAGTCTCAATCTAGCTTCTTCTCAAATTGCAAGTGCAGGTGTGGACGCATCCCTGCACAACCGTGTGTTCATATGACTTGAGGAGGTCGTCCTTAGCGAATGTTTTCCTGAACGGATATATTTATAAGTAGTTGTCGGCTGCAAACCCATTTTGGACAATATGGTTGTGTCGAACAGAATGTAGGAGTGTGTGATGTGATGTAGGAATATGATCTATTTTGCGTCTTTGTAAGCTGTGAGCTAAGACCCTGAATATTCAGCAAACAACGTTTACTAAATGAATGTGACTGTCGGCTTGTTTTATGACATGTTTTATGTCTATTTCGCATGCCACATTTTCTGCTTACATGAACGAACAAATTATGACAATGTTCCATTATCAGTTTATGTTTCAAATATGACAAACAATTCAGTATCCTGACGTATATATTGTCAGATAAATGGTATTACGACAAAGGAGATCCATATTATGACAAACTGGACCGTCACTGAATACATAAAATATGACAACGATATATTGTCAAGTTGTCCGAACAATATTATGACAACCGAAAAATTAAACTTTGTCACATTAGACCTAATACGACGGGGCAAAGCTGATAAAGCCATTTTGTCATAACACTTGTCACATTAGACAAAAAGTGACAAAATGGCACACTAAAATGACAAATTGGGTGCGTCACAAAATACCTAATTTCTTGTAGTGAAAGGATCGGCTAATTTGGAATTGCACACTGGATGGGTCATTCATTGTGAAATCGGCATACCATCTGGCTACCCATTTGGACAAAAAGGATGGCCGGTGGCGCTCGTTAGCCAGTTGAATGGATAGGCCTAGCTGGATTCGGGTATGGGTAGCTCCTGTTCCTCCAAAACTGAGGGTCTTTCTCTGGCAAATCTTAAATCGACTTCTTCCAACAACGGAAGCACTATTAAAAAATAAAGTCCAGGTCCATCCTCGAAGCCCAGTTTGTTGGGCTGATTCCGAAACTTTGGAGCATTTGTTTCTTGAATGTCCTGTGGCGAGAGCTCTATGGAATTACGCGGGGTTGGAGTACTTGGGTCAGGGATTGCCTCATCACACCTTTCATTTGTTCCTAAAAAATTTGATGAATATCATCCAACAACCCCAATTGTTCATGACGGTTACTGCTGTCCTTTGGAGAATCTGGCGGTCCCGGAACTGGGTTGTCTTTGAGGGCAAACAATTTGGGATTCCAGCATTAATGATGCAATTTCATCAGTAGTACCAGGAATGGGTTAGCTTGCCAGTTGATAGATATCAGGGATCTCTGTCCCCTCCGTTGGTGGGTGTCCCAGATTTCCCTATAATTTGTATGTGAGATGGGGCGACCAAGTCAGCTTCCCATTCGGCTGGAGGTATGGTGGTCAAAAGTCAGTATGGGGGAATTCTTAATTCGAGAGGGATTCAATTCATGGGAATTGATGATCTGTTGGTTGCTAAAGTTCTAGCTCTCCGGGAGGCTATTCTATGGTGTCGGAATTCCGGATTTGTGAAGGTGCGCTTTAAAGGAGATGCTAAGGTGATTATTGATAAGATCAACCAGTCGGATACTAGGGATAGCCAAATTGGGGCACTTCTGGCAGAAATTGTAGGTGTTTTGGAGTCGCTAGGAGGTTTCTCTGTGCGGTTTGTTGGTCGGCGTAGTAATAGGGTAGTCCACTTGGTGGCTGAAAAGGCCCTTGATTTGTACCCGACTGCGAGTCGTTATTTTGATGTTCTGCCTGGTTAAATTCCAGGATGTAACTATCTATGTTTCTGATCAATATATTGATTATCTTTTGTAAAAAAAAAAGGGCTAATGCCACTGGAAATACCATCCTTTAGCGAAGGTGTCATTTATATTACGTACTTTCAATAAACACAAAAATATTCCAACGTATTAGGGGTTTGCGTCATTTGTGTTATGCAAATTTTTGTTGAGCGTTAGAATTGACGGTTTACCTAACGGCGGTCAACTTATATTTGACTATTGCTTATGTGGCTCTTAGGTGTTGTCCACATATGTGCCATGTAGGAAATTAATATTTAAAAAATATTAATTTAATTTTCAGAAACAAATAATTATAATATTATTAGTTTTCCATCATCTTCCCCACCCACCCATTCCAATCGTAGCAACCCGCAGAGAGAAGCGTTGTCGCCGTTGTCGCAAAGTTTGGCAATTAAAATAACACCACCCTCTTCGACTTGAGAGCTGTGAGGATTAATTTTGCTAACAGGGATGTAATACCCTACTGAGACTGGCGTTCCTTACCGCATCTCATCGCCGCAAGCCCTTTGTTGCCGCCTTCATTTTTTACTCACAGCCACCGAGTCTTCTTCTTCTTCTTCGATTCCAGCTGGGAATTAGAGTCGTTCTACTACTTTGTGAAGTCAAAAGGGAATCCTCAATCTGACCCTCTGCTTCTCTGGCTCACTGACGCCAGATCTATAGGAACTTCTTCGTCTTCCGTCTCAGAAAGAAAGAGAGAGGGAGATGGTGATCCTCCTTCTTCAGGAGCTCCAGTAGTTTGACTCGAACTAGACGATTGGAGGGCGGATTCGTCCTTGGAGCAGAGGGAACTTCTACTTGTTCTCGTTGATGAGTAGAGGGTTGGTGTATTCTGCAATCAATTGGGTTTTGGATCACCGGTAGCGAGGGAAAATCTAATCGGCAGATCTACTTCTCAATCGGCATCGACACCGCCACTCTTCCACAAAAATCCCTCCCTCTCATCCTCCGCCATTGCCATTGCCACTGCTTGGCTCCGCCTTTGTTGGAGAGGAATCTTAGCTTACAAAATAGTCATTGTCGGGAGAAGAGTTGTTACCTAGTGAAGAGACGGCGAGGGTTTGATGAAGATGGCGGCCGGCAAGTGAGTCATTATCTGGAGATTGAAACGTCGACGGTCTTGAGAAAGAGAGTGAGGGATCAGGGAAGGCGATGATATTTTACATTTATTATTTTACATTATTTTTTATGAAAACTTTACACGCCAGCTGCCATGTAATCGCTGACTATATTTTCTGTTAGCCCCTAACGGAAAACTTAACGGTTGGTATACAATTGTCATATCGAAAGTTTGATAATATAAATGGCACTTTCGGTAAAGGTTGGTATTTCTAGTGGTATTAGCCCCCCAAAAAAAAGATTAAAAGTAGTTTGGTTTACTCAACAGTCAAGCGGATGATCGTGTTAGTTGTTTTAGACCTTTAGTAGGTCAAGGGGCTATTTTTGTTGAGAAGTTGTCGAGATAAGTGGATAGAGTCTTATACCATATTGCTTCTCTCTATCTTCCGATTAAGATTTATCAGTTTAACCCCTATTTAACCCCTCAGCCTCGTCATATCAAAACGTTAAAGAAAACTTAAATCTTGAGCAAAAGGAAACTGTTGGGGGTATGGCTCAGGTCTAGTCGTGCCAATAAGTTAGTCCAGTGCCACCCCCAGAAGAACCACTCGCGCTAGCACCATCGCGCTCACGGCAAGGAGCAACTCGCGGAAAGACCACAACCGCGGAAAGGACTACACTCGCGGATTGGGTTCCGCAAGACGGGACGCGCCCACAAGTATCAAGGCGCCAAATGATGTCGTTTTGCTCAACTCAGGCCAGATCAAGAAGGCAAGAAACGACATCGTATTCCCTAAAGAACGGCCACATCCTAGCCCTAGGTATAATCAAGGCCTAAGTGTCTAGCCCTAGGCATAGTCATGGCCTAAGTGTCTGACAAATTCAGTAGTCACCACAATGTAGCCTATAAATACGACATTTACTCTAGTGGATGAGGGGATCACATTTTTACTCTCTCACTCTATAATATCAACTTCTCTCTCTAAGACCTCCTCTCTCCCGATCGCAACTGTTTGTAATCTCATTTCAGTGGAAGGAAAGAGGGTCATGTTGCTTACTCTTCTCGTCCCCCCCTTTTACTCAAGTCTCACTCCTACTCTCAGCCAAACTCAAACAATTGGCGCCCACCGTGGGGCCTGAGTAGAGAAGCAATAGGAAAGAAAGTCACGATGGCGGAACAAAATCCTAACACTCCCAATGAAGCAACGCCAATCAAGGCGATGACGAACCCAAGATTGTTCGCGGAAGCTAGCAACCTCAACGCGGTCTTAATAGAAGAAGAAGAGCCAGATTTGACGGCCAAGGAGGTCCGCCAGCAAATGGCCATGCAAAACGATGTCATCGCGGATATGCAGGCAAAAATGAATCAAGTGATCTCCCTGATGATGAACAAAGAAACCCCCGTGACAACGTCGGAGCCGCCAACAATAATACCCCCGCCGCCTACAGATCGACAGGCAACCAGGCAAGCGGCTCCACAATCCCGCGAACAAGACCCGCCAGCAAGAGCAGAACTGACGTTCTTGGAAAAACACCTCTCCCCACAGTATCACGCTCCGCCTAAAAGGACCCTGCATCAACCACTCTGCACTTAGACTTTGGCATCCCCCAGAAACGCCACCGAAGTGCAATCTTTGAACGACAAGTTAGCCGCGCAGGGATGGTTCATTCCGAGATCCACCGACAAATGCGCTTCA